GCTGGACTTGGCCAGCCTCTTTCGCCTCATGGCCACCACCAGGATGGAGTAGGACACGGAGATGACCACCAAGGGCAGGAGGAACTGAGAGAGGAAGATGAACACGGTCAATATCTCGGCCTCTTGGCGCCTCCAATCTTGGAAGACATCCAGGTTGCTGCAGGAGCTCCGGTTCCTCTCGAAGGAGAGCTCGGAGAAGAGGAAGGAGCTGGGCACGAAGGTGGCCAGCGACAGGGCCCAGATAGCGGCGCAGGCCACCCAGCTGAGCCGCGGTGTGCGGTGATTGCGGCACCAGACGGGGGCCACCACTACCACACACCGGTCCACGCTGATGGCGCTGAGCAGCAGGACCCCACTGCAGAGGCTCAAGCCGAAGAGGCAGTTGGCCAACTTGCAGGCCACGGAGCCGAAGGGCCAGTCCAGATCCAGGGCCAGGTACAGGACGGTAACCAGGATCAGAGAGGTGGAGGCCACGTCGGCCACAGCCAGGTTGAAGAACCACACGGTGTTGGGGGTCCAGCGCAGCTTCCAGCCTGTGACCCACAGCACTGCCCCGTTCCCGGCCGCCCCGGCCAAGAAAATGAAGCCGAAGGCGACAGCCGTCGTGACCTTCATGGCCTGGCGCAGTGTGGCCTCCCCAGATGTGGCGTTGATGGGCAGCATCGCCCTGCTGAAGAGACAGTGTAGGTTGTGAAAGGCCCTATGCTTGGGTTCTCTCCCTGGGGGTAGGATTGGGGGCTGGGAGCCAGGACTCCTGGGTTCTATCCCTGACGCTGGGAGGGGAGTGGGGTCTGGTAGGTTAGAGCTGGCGGGGGCTGGGAGCCAGGACTCATTAACTGGGCCACCATTGAGGTCCCAGTCTCAGTTGAATGCTGGGATGATCCGAACCTCCACCCCCACCATTACCCATGTACTAACTAAACTAATGGTTGTGGGCACTGTGTGTCCCCCTGCTGGAAGGAGAGTGTGTGTGTGTGTGTCTGTCTGTGTGTGAGAGAGAGAGAGAGAGAGATGGCTCCCCCACCCCCGTCCCTCGCTCTAAGCCCCGCTCACTTAGTGACGCTAATGGGCACAGTTGCATTGACCGCAAGCCCCCGTCCCTGCTTTGTTCCCAAACAACCAGCTGGGCCCAACGCTTCCATCCTAATGCGTCAATTTCCCAGCCCCGTGGGGTGAGAGCTCAGCTGGGTGCTGTGCCGGCAGGGGGCCCAGGGGGCCGGCGTCGCTCGGCACTGGGCAAGGAGCCAGCTCCCCAGGCCCCCAGCCCCTGTGGGGGGTGGTTAGGGCTTGAGCATGGCTGCTCATCACTCCTGTTGGCTGCTGGGGCCCAGACCCCTGCGCCAGCTGGAGGCGGGGGCAGAGTGAGGGGTTGGGATGGGAGAAGGGGGAGGAGGTGGGGTGGGAGAATTGACTCCATCTCTAGCTCTGGTAGGGGAGGGGAGTGGGGTCTATTAGTTGGGGGTGGGGGCTGGGAGGCAGGACTCCTGCTTTCTATCCCCAGCACTGGGAGGGGTGTGGGGTCTAGTGGTTAAAGGGTGGGGGACGGGGGGGGGGGGAGACTGGGAGCTGGGACTCCTGGGTTCTATCCCCAGCACTGGGAGGGGTGTGGGGTCTAGTGGTTAGAGCAGGAGGAGGTTGGGGGCGGGGGGGAGGGCGGAGGCTGGGAGCCGGAACTTCTGGGTTTTATCCTGAGCTCTGGAAGGGGAGTGGGGTCTAGTGATTAGAGCGGGGTGGGGGGAGCTTGGGAGCCAGGACTATGACTCCTGGATTCTCTCCCTGGGTCTGGGAGGGGAGTGGGGTCTAGTGGTCAGAACGGGGGGGTTGGGAGCCCGGAATCCTGGGTTCTATCCCTGGCTCTGGGTGGGTTTAAGGTTGCCAACATCATATTTCAAAAATAAGGGACTGTTTTCTTAGCCCCCCTGCCCCACCCCCTCCCGATATTGCTATTATGATTATTATTATTAACAACCCTGAGCAGGACTCACCTACATTCGCCAGGAGGATTTTCTTGCTGCTTTTTGCAGAACTCACCGAGCCCAGAGCTTCTTGCAGGGAAATGAAAACCCTTGTACTAAGGGCTGGTCGGCAGCCCTGCGTGTGGGTCAGAGCAGGGGGGCGCTGGGAGCCAGGACTCCTGGGTTCTCTTCCTGCCTCTGCGACTGATTCGCTGAAGGAGCGCCTGTCGCTCCTTCCTCTTCTCTGGCGTTTACGCCTCTGTATAAATACTATCCCCCAGCCCCCCCCTGCTCTAGCCACTAGACCCCACTCCATGTTCAGAACTGGGGAGAGAACCCAGGAGCCCCGGCTCCTACCCCCCGCCCCAACCACTAGACTCCCACTCCCCTCCCACAGCTGGGGCTAGAACCCAGGTGTCCTGGCTCCAAGCCCCCCCTCCTCCCAGCCAGGAACAGAACGTACCTTCCCTCCCCTGCCAGTTCCCACCGCCCCCTGGCAGGACCCGTTCACCTGTCCCGCTTCTCTCCCCCCCCTCCCCCCTGCAATGTTCCCAGACACACTGTACAGCTGTAGCCAGAGCAACGGCATCCATCCTCAAGGTCTCAGCTACAGAGAAGGGGGGGGAGCGAGGGAGGGGAGTGGGAGGCAGAGCCCAGCCCTGGCTGTGCATAGAACCCAGGAGTCCGGCCTATTCTCCCACCCCACTCTACTCTGCCCACTAGACCCCACTTGTCTCCCAGGAGTCCTGGCTCCCAGCCCCCTGCTCTACCCCACTTGTTCCCCAGCCACCCCGGAGGCTGGGATAGAACCCAGGAGTCCTGCCTCCCAGCGCCCCCCACCTAACCACTAGACACCAGTCTCCTCCCAGAGCCAGGGGTGGAAGGACCCCTGGAGTCCTGGCTCCCAGCCCCCCTGCTCTAACCCATTAAATCCCAGCTCCCCCCACCCCCAATTCCCCAGAGCAAAAGCAAAATCACTCACCTGAGGCGGAAGGATTCTCCAGGGCTTAGAGTTGGCGAGGGGGGTGGGCTGGGAGCCAGGACTCCTGGGTTCTATCCCTGGCTATGGGAGGGAAGTGGGGTCTAGTGGGTTGAAGTGGGAGGGGCTGGGAGCCAGGACTCCTGGGTTCTACTCTTGGCCCTTAGAGGGGAGTGCGGTCTAGAGGGTAGAGCAGGGGACAGGCTGAGAGCCAGGATGCTTGCCTTGCCTGTGCCTCAGTTTCCCCAGCTGTCTGAGGCGGGTAGCGCCGGTTTCCGGGGGGGGGGGGATAGGTGCTGGAGCTAGCTGCAGTACCCCTGGCTCGAAGTGGGTTCCATGATACAAGGTTTGTAGTTTGGGTCGAGGGCTCTCAGAGCCCCCTCCCATACAAATTGTTCCAGCAGCCGTGGGATTCGGGGCGGGGGGGGTAACCCTGTCTGCTAGGAGCCCAGAGGCCGCGGGGATGGGGGCTGCCCGGCCCCTGGGCAGGGAGCGGGGCGCGACTCACCTGGCTGCGGCTGCCGCCAGGTCCGGGGGGGGGCGGTCCGGGTCCGAGTCGGCTGCGCAGGGAGCCGGGCCGGTCGTGTCGTGTCTGGGGGGTGGGGGGAGGGACACGAGAGAGAGTCTGTGTGTGTGTGTGTGTGTGTGTGTCCCCCTGCTGCCCCCTGCGGGAGGGGACGAGCCCTGCTCTGTGTGTGTGTGTGTGTGTCCCTGCTGCCCCCTGCTGGAGGGGACGAGCCCTGCTCTGTGTGTGTGTGTGTGTGTCCCTGCTGAGCGTTGCTGTGTGATACCTGTGTGTGCTTTTGCACACCG